GATCCATAAATCATGATCGCAAACGGTGAAACTTGCGTGAGCTGATAGACCCGCGGAGGGCAGAACAAATATTTCAAGAGCGTAACAAGCGTGTGTATGTCGTCTATATATGGTATATCCACCGACAACCGGAAATGTGGCTCGTTCTGTCGCGTGCTATGCCCGGGTCCCGGGATTCATTGCGGGAAAACGGAACAATGACACGACCGGATTGCTTTCGTACAAGAACAAAGTCGATAGGTTCGAACATTGCCGCACGGTATCGACACGCCATGTTTCGACTGGGCTTCCGGGTGAAACGATCAATCCGAAACTATGTCGTAATTAAGTTTTCAAAAAAAAAAAAGTAAAAGTTTTGCAATAGAAAAGAAAAAAGATAATAAATAAACCAATGGAACATTGTTTGCATTGTATAATATCGTCGAGAGACGGCCTCGAAATCAACCGTCGGCGTCGTGCGCAAGTACGCACACCAGCTTGCGCTCGTTCGCATACCTGTCATTATTCGGATTCAAGATTACGAAGAGACCAAGTAATTATTGATTTGGAAATAACATCTCCAACGCTGTTATTTCGTGTAATGAGCACCGTTAACGGATGCGTTTGCGAAAGTCTTGGTGCTTCTCGATCGCTACGATGAAAAATTAAAAGGAAATACGCATCCGATGCGATCGAACCTTTTTAATTAACGGACCTCTATACAATCCGACGTTCCTCCAAAAATTTCCCACGTTCAATCATCTTTCGACTACAACAATTATAAAAAGTTAATCGAACGAAGAATAGGTATATATGTATTTTTACCTCTTCCGCATTGATTCAAACCGCAACCACCTTTCCCATAAAAGACAACCAGGTACTCTATCATTCGTGAATCCCGCGAAAAGAAAAGAAACCCACGAGATTAATCTTCTCGAACGAGGAAAACCTTACTTGGAATCAACGTTATTCAAAGTTAAATCGTTACTCAACTAATCCCGTTCTTCTCCTTTTTCCGCGTACGCATACGCATACGCATACGCATACGCATACGCATACGCATATACATATACATATACATTATGCCATCTTGGATGTATAATTTGTTTGGTCAAGTTTCAATATCAAAGTTTGCGTATCAAGGAACAATTTTTCGTAAAATATTAATTTAAAATCTTCCCGACTAACGGTTATCAGAGTCAAAGTCAGATCTCGGTCGGAATCTCGCGGCTATACGACAGGAAGATCCTTGAGCGGCAGTGGATACGATCGACTACAAATTCTCATCGTACTTGGACGCAAACGTTCGAATCTATAACTGAAAGCGTCCGTTTGATCGTTGGTCGACGACAACAAGCAATCGCAGTGAACCTGAACCGCGACATGGCATTTTTCGAACGAGACGAAACAAATTGCAACCGATCGCAGCTGGTCGAGCAACTTTCCTCACTTATAAAACCGGCGAAGAAAGGTTAGCATAGGAGAACAAGTTGCCGAATCAAGCAAATTACAATTAGATCACGCTCACTTACATCTCTGCTCGGTAATTGTAAGTAACGTCCGTTAATCGCCGTGAATCGATGGATCAGCGAACAAAGCGTGAAATCGGCATCGGCATCATTATCGGCATCCGCTGTAATATCCAATGTAACGTGCTCCAACTTGTCGTAGATGGGAAAACTGGTGAAACAGTGATCAGAAAATTAAACGAAACGAAATTAAAGGAAATCGTACGATTCCGTAGGATGGAACGGTCCATGCATCGATCGCGACTCTCGCGGTTGCTTCTGGTAAATCTGTTCAAAGTGTCGCACGAAGGATCCGCGATGATACACCGTTCTAGAATCTTATCGCGATCGAAATCAAAGACGTACTACTAGTCAGCTAATCTCGAACGAACGAACGAACGAACGACTGCTTCCTCGAGGCGCGTTCGAGCGAAAACAGAAGCCAACTCGTCCAGGCCCGTTTCTTCGTCTGCCGATCTTCCTCGTTCTTAGTATTTACTGTTTCGCGGCAGAGGAACACGCCGGGCTAGCTCGCGTTTATGCACGCTTGGATCGACGCCGACGGTTGGAGGTCGACTGTTACCACCACCGTGATCCATGACCACGTGGACCTTAGCAAAATGCCAACATTCGCTCGTGTATACGTACTTGGAGACTCGTACATACACAATCTGGACGGACTAGACGCGACGCGATGCTCCAAACATCTCGAAACAAACCGGTATTCAACCTTTTCTTTCCATCTCTTACTTATGTATTCGACCAGGACGAGATTTACGACTCAAACGTTTTTCTTATACCTTTCCTTCACCTTACTTTGATTTACTTGTTCGTGGCTCACGTTTCTCACCACGCACCGACGCCGACGCTGACGACGACGACGACGCGACGATGACGTGCGTTGGACCAATCGCCACTTTGAATGCACGATCCAAATGACAATAACAGGTATACACAACTATAAGATTATCGAGTATATTAAAAAAGATTATTATTTTTATTCTCGATAAATTGTTATGGTTGAATACTGGAAGAACGTCAACAGCGTTGAGTGATTCGGTTCGATGAATTTAAGAAACACACACAGTCGCGACTCGATCGAGACCGAGACCGAGACCGAGATCGACATCGATCGACTGACCTTTGCCAGCGCTGTAATGTTTAGTTGATTGAAATCTAGCGTTAACAACTAGCTATAATTACTAGTATCGAAAGACTGGTTATACTAGTACTACCACTGCCAATTACCATTGAAAGAAAATAAACACGATTCAAAAATGATCCCGACACTCTACCGAAAAACTGTTTTTAATTAAATGTTCCCTCGGAAACTGCTTTCGCCCCTAAACCCCAGCCAAGTAAGCAGGGTTAAGTGGCTTCCGGCTAACACGAACAACCTGCAGATGGAGAAGAAGGAGCATTCGTTTCAGAGTTAGCGCATCGCGCTCCAAGAGAAATCAAAATAAACGAATCGCGTTCAAGTTATCGATATTTGGCTACCATACGCTAGATAAAGAGGAATCGAATTCGGTTCCATTCGAATTCTTTTTTTCTTGACCATGAGCCATTGTTCTGGCCGGAGACTATGTTATTTATCTTGGAACACGCGGGAGGTAATCCTATTAGCAGACCTGAAAATCCTCTTCTCTACGTCGATTTCTTTTTTTTTTTCTTCTTTTTTTTTATCCCGCGCATAGGCCAATCTGAAACCACGAACCAAGCAGCGTTTAAAAAACAAACCAAAAAAGTGGAACCTGTCCGACGCGACGAACGTTCGCCACTGCCGATGCTGGCCTCTGCATCTCGCTTCGTGGAAATCGAGAATGATTATGTGAGTAATGTATCGCGAGGCGTCGAACACGAGAAAAAAGTGGGAAACGAACAAAATAGAATTCAAGGAAAAATAAGTGGAGAGACTTGCATCGCTGTCGCGACGGTAAACAAGTGGCTGGCAAAGTCAGCAAAATCACGAATTCGATCGAGACTAGTTCGAGATATTATTGCAACAGCTGGTGGACCGAGTCAGCTCGTTGTCGGCTATTTTTTACAGATGTAACATGTAACGACAGAAAGATTCGCGCGCAGTTGCGAAACAGTTGCGTTGTCCAACATACGCGGCTCTAGAGTTGAGTCGGATCGGAGAAAATCTACTAAGTAGTGTTAACCAGGAAAATCGCCGGAAGGTACAAGGTATTAATTTATGCAAATTGCAGTCGAACGTATGGTAATCACAACGCGAAAGCGAGACAGAGCTGGTCGTCGAATCGAAAAGAAGAAAAAGAAAAAGAAAGAGAAAGAGAAAGAGAAAGAGAAAGAGAAAGAGAAAGAGAAAGAGAAAGAGAAAGAGAAAGAGAATAAGAACAGGCGGAATATTTCTGATCCAGCATCAGGGTTCAATGTCGACTCGTTTATCCGCAGAATTACGTAGACTTTTTCAAGCTCTTAATAATACCACGCCCGCGCTTCGATCCTCCTTCAACGATAAAACACCAGCAATTTTCTTGGACGACAATTAAACCCATCTTCCACGTTCAGCTGCTACTTCCGTTGACCGGCATGTTGAATCACCAAACCGAAAACTCGAGATCAATTATCGTCGATTAGGTAGCTGTTGCGAGGAAACATTTCGATACTTTTCCTACTAAAAATTATGAAATTTTCAAACATATTTTTGCCTAACTCATCCAGCGAATGTGTATATACACATACCATATATAGAAAGTTTGCCGACATATTTATGTATCTACGTATAATTCGAGCAGCTATATGTTATAATTAATAAAAGTTATCATTGTAAAAAGTTGCTTTGAGAAACGAATAAAAATGTTTCGAAAGATCGAGCGTCGACTTACCTACATACTATACATACACGTATATAGTGTATGGTATTCAAATAATTACAAACAAAATGGTAAATATCGGCCCTGCTTTTCGTTTGACACGTAAACCACGAGTTGTTAAGTACCACGCACAACCAACAGGATCTTGTACCCGCGACTTTATCTCAAGGTTTCGGATAACGCAATCTGTTGTTTAGTATTCCAACTTGTAGAAACTACCGACTAAATGTCCACGGTAAATGTACCGCGATGGAAGCAAAAAATCAACGAGCAAAACAAACGGAAAATGAAACGAAAGAAGCGACATTAATCGGTAAACGACTTATCTGCTCTTCCCGGAAGCATCGTGTCCGGCAAACGATATGTGCAGCGAGAACCGAGTCGGCAAAAATACAATATACCGCGCGAATATTGCAGAGTACCGATTACGTGTTCGCCTCAGTGATTGCTTTTTTCATTCTTCTTTATTCTATATTCTTTTTTCTTTTCTATAATTATCGATTCAAATTTCAAATTTCAAATTTCAAATTCCAAATTTCAAATTACCTCACACAAAACGTCCGAGATTCGCTAAGCTAAGCTAAACGGATCTCCGTGTACGTTAAAATTATTTTAACCGATCTGCTGTTATGCTTTCACGCGCCAAGCTAAGAACAACGAGAATAAAGATTAAAGTATGCAACAACGGTTATGCGTATATTTACTTAATCAGAATCTCCATGAAACTTGTAAGCAATACAAGCAAGCATAAGATCAAATTCGATAAAATATCGTCAAGTCGATAGAATTTCATTTGATTTAGCCAAGTTTCGAACGAAACGCAGCATGCAGTTTGCTAACACCAGATACATTAAACTCTTTGTAACCCGGCAGTTCCTCTTCGCATCTTTTTAGCCAACATTTCACATTCGGATAATCGTTCAGGTTCACCACCACCTACGAATCCGTTAAAAACAAAACAATGAGACAGAGAAACAATGTTCTCGTTGCTGGAATTTGCGACAGCACACCGAACGAAAAACTTACAAGACCGCTGGACGCAGTGGCGGCGGAACATATGTCCGCGACGGTGTAAGAATCCCCGACAAGCCAATTTTTATCCTCCAGGAACTTGTCCAAGAATCCATACGCTTCCTTCAATTCGTTTCTTCTGCTTTCGCTAATCGTTTTTCGTTCTCCTAAGAATGTTTCTCCCTGAAAAATATTGTAATATTATCAAGCGAAAATGATGAAACACGACAACAAAAGAAATGTCTAAGGTGGCAAAACAACGAAAACGGTTGGGGAAATTAGGAAAGATCGCGTTCACGGTAGATTAGTCGATTTGCGATAGTATTATATGTATGTATATTATGCCATTAGAGGCTAAAAAAGGCTCACCTCTTTATTTATTTACGCTGAAACAACGCAACGTTGTAGCTTTCGTCTACTCTCGAAAAGTATAATAAGACACGGAATAGAAAAGATGGTTTAAAATTTTCACGAGACCGAGCCACGACGTCCGTGTTACTTTTCTCCGTAATATTAGTTTCAATTGGCTACGCCACTTGTAACTTGTAACTTGCAAGTGTACATTGTTCACAGTGTACAGCTACGTACATGTATGTACGCGCTGAGAGACGAGTCTCTCGTAGTTGGTCCATCATGGGCAAAAATGCGCAGTTGGTTGAGTTTATTAGGGGTCCTCGAAAGTAATATACAAAATAGTACATGCAAAGATCGAGCAACTTGTTCCCTCTATACATGTAATACACTCTAATGCTCCAGGTTGTATACATGGAATATGTATCGTAGCTGTATGTAGCCAAGTGCGCGCGGAAAGCCGAATCGCGCTAACCTCCTTTCTTTCGCACGGCTTACAATTAATCAGCCGCCCCGATGCTACGGGACTTTGACGACACAATCGCCAAACCCAAATCACACCAACGATCCAACAAATTTAACCACAATTATTCTATCGTATACATATAATAATTAAGGATATGTTTAAACAAGGTCCGTCGACCGGCTTGGAACCTAAGAAATCGACACCGATTCAAACTAGGCTAACCGCATGTAATATAAAACAGCACCTAATATGCCACCTATAACATCAATAGTATATGCAGCATTTCCACGGATAAATAACAAACTCTATCTCCACAAATGTAAATTACGCCTTTACAAATAGACCGTTCCAATTCTTTTTTCACCTTGAAAATTCACCGTTCAAAGGTTTTTCAAACATTTTCTATTAGAAACGTATTCGATACTTTTTCAAGTATAAATGCAGTTGACGTTTCGATTTCGATTTCGATTTCGATTTCCATTTCGATTTCGTTGATTTCATCCAAAGAAAACCGTAAATTGCCTGTTCCATATTTCATGCGATTGCTCTACGGCACGTCGCGTCGCGTCGCGTCGCGTCGCGTCGACTTGTCTCGCCGTTAATTATATTATACGTATAATAATACTCTGTTCGTAACAAATGTAGTTACACTTTTGCGTACTCGTTAAAGTTGTTTCCCTGAAGCCCCGATCCGACTGTCGTTAGATTACCGTACATAAACAAACAATTACTCACAAAGAGACGCCTTTCAGCTGAGAAATGTACCCCACAGTCAAAGTGAAGCTGTTGGTCGATTAACGCGCGTTTCTGCAAGTCCTTGGGATACAGCGAATCGTCTTTAGCGTATTTACCTATCAGATAGCACGCAATAGCATGACTGGAAAAGATGGATCGATTATCATTGGTACTGCGATACGAGCAACGCGTGGAAACTATTTGCGCAAAGCATGTAAAAGTTATCATCGATTACCTGTCCGCAAGTACGAAACCATCGTCGTCTATCGTTGGTATCGTGTGCTGGGGATTGATCTGAAAATAAAGAAAATAACAAAATTCGATACGAATGAAACCTTTTACCTAGCTATTCCGCTATACACTACCAACTTTTAAGAAGTCTTCCTTCTTGTTATCCCTGGTCAGCAAATTGATCTCGCGAATCTCCACTTCGACCCCAATCGCGTGCGCCGTCAACAAAACTGAACGGCAAGGTGGACTAATGTCGTGCGAGTATAAAATAATTTTCGTCATTCTCTCTCTCTCTCTTTCTCTCTCTCCCAAATATCCCTGAAAACAATGCGAAACAATACTTGAACATTCGAGTTACTGATTTTTATCTATTTATTTTACATCCTTTTACAGGAACATTATTTTAGGAATTCATAATACATGCATGCATACATACACGTACATATATACATACCTGTGAAATAAAAGTTCGATCAATGATCAATTACTTATCGATCAATTTATCGTGATGCGCACCGCGTCAATCCGAAAAAGCAACTAGAGATACGAACATTGGTCACTTGACAACTAGCGACGTTGATGTAAACCGAGTAGTTGTTAAACCGGTCGTTAAATCTCCTGTTTCTACTACATAGTAATACCAGCTGCCAGAACACGCACAATCAGTGGCTGAGACCGCTTCCTTATCGTTTCTGTTTTGGTTAACAGATTTCGCCAACGCTAATCGTCGTTATACGCCATTCGTTACAAATATTGCTTTCTTTTCAAATATAATTAGTTTAAAAATATCACTCTGATTGGTAATAAAATTACCGATAATTAATGCACGAATTCTATTCTATTCTATTCTATTCTATGAATATTAAGCAAAATATTTGTACACAATATGCGTAATACCTTGTTCGCAAAGCACGTAAATGTATTCGAAAGTATTATGTATTATAAATTTCGAGACAGCGCGGATGCGGATGCGGATGCGGGTGCGGGTGCGGGTGTGGGCGCGGCGCGAACCTGTTGCAAGGATGGGAATCCCCTATTGTCATTTATGCGAGTGCGCCACACGCAACTCGCGCCCATCAAGCCTGAAACCACTGCGAGCACTATTCCTCTAGTACTCGTTGCGACATCTATCGTTCCGATTCTATGATTATAGTTATCCGAAAAACAAGTCCTCTCGCGACATCCATCGGAAACATCTGAAACGATAATTTCAATATCATCGAACCAACCGCAGATTCCATGCATTTTTCCAATTTTTCCAATTTTTCTTTCTAGCAACGATAACGCGTGGATTTTTAACCACGATATCAATTTACAGTGGTTATACCAAAACATATTGCGACTCGCAATTTTATTTATTCCAAAGTCTAGTAATGTTAAACGCGAGATAGTTATTAATAATATTTGTACTTGTGAAAGCAATGGGTATGCTAGTTTCTCCATTTTCGCTGACGATCGAATAACATTTGGATAGTTGAATTTTCTATTTTTTTCTATCGAATTATTATTGTATCATATAATAGATTGGTCAATGAAAATCTTGCTAGATAATGTAATAGATGTGTCGTTATGACGTGTAACAACATTTAGCGAAACCATAATCTTCGATCGTTCGTAGCATGTGCCCTCGCTGTTGGAAATATAAGAGGGATAGTTTGATCGAGTCCGATGGTCATTCAGTTTTTAGTCGCGACTCGACCACCTCGTCGACGGTATGCGTCGCTTCTCGCTTCTCGCACCTCGTCGAATCGAACTTTAAAACTTCCAATTGAACGAGAACAAACGAGTATAGTAGCAATCTTGGGAAAAAGTTCAAAAGCAAAGTGGCAAATTGTTTGATAGGCAAATTTTTCTGGAGAAAACTTGTCAAACTACGCTTCCATCTGCAATTGCACGTCGAACAAGTTTTAATAGCCAAAAATGGCTTGTCCCTTATCCGACGGGATTATTGCGTAAGTAATATCAAGTAACCGTTTACAAGAATCTTGGCTGCGACGAATTATAAATAACACATTTTTCCGATCAATTTTTGCTGAAAATAATAAATAAACTTGTTAAATCGTGTGTAAATATCATATTAAGAATGTCAAGTTAGATTTAAAACACAGACCGGATCGAAGGGGGAATATGCAGGAAAAATATTTCGGGTTTCGAATGATTCATCGGTTGATTTACAGAAAAGATGGAAAAGACAAGACATGCTCGTATCGAGCATGCATATGTCCTATTTGACCTTGTTTACGAGATAAAGCGAGTTTTGTTTTTTCTCGTTAGACAGCTGATGATTATCGTGGTAGAAGATGGGTAAATGGTTAAAATGACTAGATTTAGATTGTATTTTAACTTGAACGCAAGGCCACCTTGTAACCAAGCCTTGTCATCGTTTCGTCTATTCTCGAAATATTCCCCGTTAGATACTCGTCTTTGTTCAAGACAAATATTATTCGTAAAGTGTAACAGTAACAGTTGAGCGAAAAATGCCAAGATGAAGAATGTAACGCGTAATAAAACCAGCTTCGCTTTTCGTTGAAAGAAAAGAAAAAGAAAAAGAAAAAGAAAAAGAAAAAGAAAAAGAAAAAGAAAAAGAAAACTGTCTAAATATACAGTATAGTATTATTATGTACGTAGATAGGAACGAACCACTGTTAACGAATGGTACGGTACGCATCGAAAGTATACATATCGAAAACTACTATGATAAGATGACGTTCGATGATTGGATTATTGCAGGGAGGATCAGGATCAAGACAACGATCAGCTGACCGAGGGTCCAGGCATGCTTTACGGGGAATACCTTCGGTTGGACAAAATCCTGACTGCGCAAAGATTGTTGAGCGCCGAGTACAACAAGGAAGTGCACGATGAACATCTTTTCATCGTCACTCATCAGGGTAAATAGAAAATATATGTAGCTAGTAGCTACCTACAACCTACAACATTTCTACAAGACACCGCGGCACTGCATTATTTTTACTAAATGTTATTTAATCGGTATCGTTTACTCGGCATTTATCGTGCATCGGCACACGATACGATGCAAGGAATCGTTTGATAACCGTTTCACACATTCTTCGTTTTCCATCGCAGCGTACGAACTTTGGTTCAAGCAGATTATTTACGAGCTGGACACGGTGAGAGCGCTTTTCAACCCGGAGACGAGCAGTTACGACTCGTTGAACAGTACCTCGAACAATCGTACAGCTCTTGAGAAAAATCGACTGTCCCAAGTTCTGAACGAGTCGAGAACTCTGGAGATCTTGAAGAGATTAAACCGCATCGTCCTCATTCTGAAAGTAAGCGACAAGATTCGCCACGAGACGATCTCGAGACGTATTGTCTTTTTTTATTTTAACATGGTTACACGGTTACACGGTTACACGGTTACACGGTTACACGGTTACACGGTTACACGGTTACATAAAGTAATAATTAGTAGGTACGGACGAAACTTTATCTAGTCTAGTTTAGATAGTTTATCTACTTTGTAAAACAAACAAATAATTAAACTTTTCAAAGTGAAATGATAATAGTATTATTACATGTGTATATGTTTAAACATCCTTGTTTCGCTACTTTATCGTCGAGCGGGTTTTCATACGACAACTACTATTACGCTACAACTACATACTTGAAAAAAGACATTATTTAAATATCTGCAATGTTCGTAGAAATGATAATGGTTATAGGTGTATTTCGAGGGTATGGTGATAAAAGTTAGGTTTGGAAAAAGAAACATTGAAACAAGATGTTTGCATCCCCTATGCGAAGGAAACACAACGCTAGGTAATCCTATAGAAACTCGAGGAATCGAGGCCAGTTCACGTTGACAATGACAGTGATGGAAGGAACGTGAACGACCCTTAATCGCAAGCCAATTAGGCCGCCACGATTCATGACAACGGGTGTTGATCCGTCGCTCTAACTTTCATCGAATTTCTTTCAAGAACCTCCCACTCCGATAAAAGAGCTATTATTCTATATCGAGAATACACATCGTTCCTATTTATTAATACAAGTAGGTACAGCTAGGTGAACCTCTTCTCTTTGTTAAAATGGCATGTTTAATTGGCAGTAAACCCGGACAAGTTACGTACATTTCTATTCGTTGTTCAACGAATATTTCAATTTTCACTCGCTTACTATCCGAGAGATCATTTACGAATATATCATACTTGATGAAATTTATTCGATCGTCGCGCACGTACACATCTATACATATATTGTATACGTATACACCTCGTGATAGCTCAACGATCAAAATCGATAGACTACTAAATATATTTTCCCTCCGTGTTCACCGTCAAGTATTTACAAACGGGTCAAGGTTCCCGGCAATACGACACTTTTTCGATACTGTTACTTTTCCGCTCTCCCACTTTCCAAGCCAATTCATGCCGGAATACGAAAGATTGTGGGAACTAAGCAGAAATAACAGCGAGATCTGAGTAAGTTAACACCGCTAGATGACATGCGACACCCCACACTGACACGCATAGATGCGTTAGGTAACAATCTCGCTGGCGCTCTTTCCATACCACAGAATGCAGGTGTGGTCGTTACCTTTTCTCGTCTGGTGTCGCTGAAAAATCACGTTACACAGGGTTAAGCATACAGGATTTCACGCGACGCGAGGTATCATTTCGTTTTCCAAAATGATCCTTTCAATATACAATAATAATAATAATAATAATTATTATTATTATTATTATTATGTAACAATGAATAATCGAGTAATCGGAGATTTCAACAAACGAATAATAGTAATAGCGTCACGACGCGTCGGATTGCGAGACACAATCTGTTGGATCAGTTGTACGCTTCTATGCTTCTACAAATGAGTTAAACCATGTATAAATATGTGATAATAACAGATCGAGGAGAAAAGATTGAGAAACATTGCGTTTCTTAGCTTATTTCTTGATTTTATAGCACAAATACACGACAGGTTGGTCTATGCCTATGTTAGCGATGGCGCTTCATTGTTGTGCGGTCGACACGTAAGCGTGGCAACCATACAATTGCGGCCGTGGGTGTCTCTTGGGCATGGACTTTCCAAGATCGATTAATGGTCTCTGTGTTCAAAGACACGAGCAAACTTCATAACCGTGTACTTGGCCGCGATAAACTCGAACAATTATATACGATAATATTATATGGTATTCACATGTATTGCGTCGCGTCGCTAAAATACGAAATACGAAATACGAAATACGAAATACATATCATCAACAGGACGAATGAAGAAATTATCTTTACTTTTTTTTTTGTATCATTTTCAGCTGCTAGTGGACCAAGTAACCATTTTAGAAACCATGACACCACTGGACTTTATGGCGTTTAGAGATTACCTGTGCCCTGCCTCGGGTTTCCAATCGCTCCAGTTTCGTTTACTAGAGAATAAGCTGGGAGTGAAGCAGGAACATAGAGTCAAGTACAATCAAAGTTACACAAGAATCTTCGGAAGAGATCCCAAAGCCATCGAAGCGATCAAACGCTCGGAGGAAGAGCCGAGTCTTAGCTGTCTTGTTCAGAGATGGCTGGCGAGGACGCCCGGCCTTGACACTCATGATTTCGACTTTTGGGGAAAATACAAAAGATCCGTCGAAAAGTTGCTCGCCGAACAAGAACAACTTGCTCGAGTAATCGTCCACTTAACGATCTGTTTTCTTCTTTTCTTTTCTTTTCTTTTCTTTCCTTTCGAATCAAACAAATCCAAATCTTTTTTTTACATTTTCTATCAAATTATTACACCTCATAGCCTACAACTAGTATAACTTTAATCAGTTTCGTTCAATATCGACGTTTTTCGAAATGGTTGCTTCGAATTCTACCTTTGACACTGTCCTTTTTCCACACAGAAACAAACAAAGGAACAGCTTCGAAATTATTACTTGTCGACTGTGCGTTCTCGACAAGCAGCCTTCGAGACGGTCTTCAACGAATCTCTTCACAACGCGCTCGTCTCACGAGGTGAAAGAAAATTCGCCTACG